ATTGAAAATAGTCACCGCAAAGTATCAAATAGGGAAATAATATGATGGTGTCTTTTTGTAATGTATCTTTTATTTTGTTTCAAGAAGTATCTGAAGCTCTTTTGAGAGTTACTATATAATAAGGTTCAGCATGATAAGTCAGATGCCAGGCTTATAGAATTGTTATAAATGAACATGAAGTTTTGCTCTGAAATTTTTCTGGCAACCAGATTAAAACTGATGGGCTTTCTGGTTGTTTTCCTCAAAGGCAATATAAGGATGGGGAGCGGGGGGGAACCCGGCAGGTGGGGAGGAATGTACACACACAAAAAGAGTAGAAGGTCGGAAATGACCTCAGCCTAGGAAGTTTGACTTGCATGTGAGGATGGAATCCACATTGCACATCCCTCGTGTGGACTGACTGATGCACAGACAGCAGAAGCACTGCCCCAGTGGGAGTTCTAAAGTCATGGATTGCAGGCATTTGGAGATTGTAGTTTCTTAGGGCCAGTCAGGTTTCACATTTGAACCATTTCCCATTCAAAGCTGCCCAGTGTCAGTTACTGGAGTTGGAGCAGTGATCTCAGGAAAATCTGCCCTACGTCCCCCAGACAGAGCTTCCTATAGAAAGGCATCATGGCTGCTGGGAAGGAGGAGTGTGCCGAACAAGGAGGGAAAGAGGTGACCAGTGTAAACTGGACTGCTTTGCGGCTTAAAATTCCCAGGAGGAGGTGTGGCTTCATTCTGAGGGGTTTTGATGAGATCTCTTAAGCTTCGAGATTCAAAATTGAATTCCTGATTCTTCCTTTTTGAAGCTCAACCCTCACAAGTGAGAGTTAAGGAAACTATATTTGCCTTGAAACAATTTTAAGTACAGATTCCTGGGATATCAAATTGTGTTCTAAACGGCCTCGGCATAGAGCCCTATAGAACTGGAGCTCTGTCCCAGGAGTCCCTTCCTGACCCACTTTCACACCTTGCCCAGGATGCCTCTTGGAAGCAGAAGGTGGCAGGAAAGATTCCAGGGCCGGAAAGGGTGTGAGCAGAGTGAAGGCAGGAGAGGAAAGGCTTCTGCACCTAGACGACAGGCCCTGTGCCGGTGGTCCCCTCCCTAATTCGACTGGGCTTCACCGTGCTGGGGAATTTTCTGAAACACTTTCAAGTACTATAGATAGATCTCCCCACCGCTGCCTTAACTGTTGTTTCGTTTCATTTTCTGCTTTTTTTAAAAATTGTTTTATTAGGGGCTCATAACAACTCATCACAATCCACACATAATATCAGTCGTGTAAAGCACATTTGTACAATCATTGCCCTCATCATTCTCAAGACATTTGCTCTCCACTTAAGCCCCTGGCATCAGGTGCTCGTTTTTTCCCCTCCCTCCCGCTCCCCTGTCCCTCATGAACCCTTGATAATTTATAAATTATTATTTTGTCATATCTTGCCCTGTCCGAGGTCTCCCTTCACCCACTTTTCTGTTGACCGTCCCCCAGGGAGGAGGTCACATGTAGATCCTTATAATCGGTTCCCCCTTTCCA